TTCTAAGTTAAATATCACCACTTTATATCAATATTCTACACTTTTAAAGGTGTAGAACATCATGTTTAACCCACCAAATGATTTCTTAATAAATCATTCATGATAAAACTAGTTACAAGAGTTTTCTTGTAGAGTTCTTACCTTGAACTCAACTCCTTTTTGTTAGATCTTTTCCCCTTGCTTCCCTGAGCTTGAACTTTGATAGAGGCCTTCCCAGAGCTCCTCTCCTACCTTATTTGAGTGGTGAGGATGATGCAAATGATGGGGGGACATTTCATCTCAATCCCTCCCACTTATTCAATGGAATGGGTCATGGGTTTTGTCTCTTGGAGACTTCCCACCTACTAGGTACACCCCCCAGCTGCTTCCTTGACATTTGCAGCACATTGGGTCGTGGGGTGGCCCCCACTTATGTGGGAGGTCATCCCATTATATCCCGGTGTGTATAATTGGCCCCGAAAGTTGTATTTTTCGGACTACTTTAGTCATATTTTATTTTATCGGGCCGGATAAAATATATCACGCGTTCCTAATAATTATGATCCTTTAGAATAGATGTATATTCCCCAACATTAATTTAGGAATCTCCGAAACTCATTTCGGGTTGTTATCCGTTGAATTGCCAATACCGGTAATTGGGCCCCGTTTGACCAACCGGTCAACTCCATGCCTTTCTTATGGCCCAAATAAAATATCCACCACCATATACATATTATCTAGACCAAGATGAATATAATATGTGGTTCGGGAATTATCGGGCGGTCCCCGTTCCCGCTGTGGGCCCCACACGCAATTTACTATTCACGTAAAAGAAATAATGAAATTTACAATTACGCAAATTCATAAATCATCTTTCAAGGTTTATTACATAATTTACTAAAAGTAAATATGTTTGGGGGCGGTGCTACACACTTAGTTTCTTGCATGCACATTATGCTGATATTTCTCCTCTTCATAACCTCAGCTATCTCAGATGATCTTCCCGTAAGAGAGCCAACATTCCATGTCCCAAAGCGCAATCTAACACCTTGCTTTCTCTTCTTCACCCCACATCGACCCCCACCATGCCATTGCATATTTGACACCATCCCTGGGCATTGGAGTGACGCATCGTTTCCGGGCGATGACCTAGCAGCCTTAGCATTCTTATTACCACATCCAGGCCTATGAAGTGTAGCGTGCCCTTGCCCATTTGACACCACCCCCAGGCGGAGGGATGACGCGTCGCTTACGGGCGACGACCTAGCTGTAGCGATATTCATATTTCGATTCATGTCATGTGATGTGACTAAGTGATATTGTTGGCCGTCATGCGCCTACCACAGCACCGTCCTCCTTTATCCTGGCTTGGGACATGCATGATACCAAACAAATGATCTCATGGCGGAGTTATGTTAATAATTTAGAAAATGATTAAAATATAGAAAATGAGTAAACTAAATATGAAAGTATTTAGTCGTCTAAAAAATAACATCTCCATTTAAAATACTCCATAATAAATACTCTCTCCGTCCCAAAAAACTTGGCCAAATTTCTTTTTGTGGTCATCCCAAAAAACTTTGCATTTCCCTTTAAAATAAGGAATATGTGACTAAAGTTATTTTTCTTTCTTCTGCACAAATTTTAACATAATCACACAGTTTTTATTTTATTAATCTACATGCAAATCAACATTGGTCAAGTTTTGTGGGACGGAGCCACGGAGGGAGTATGTGGTTAAACTCATTTTCTCTCTTCTGTATAAATTTTGATCATATAATTATTGCTTTATTATTTTTACTGAAGTTTTTGCCACATTGAATCCTCTGACTATGATGTCAATGACACTTTTGACATTCACAAGAATTTGAACCTTTTCACATTTAGAGGGTGTTTGGCAAATGGCGTTTCAGCCGTAAAATGGCAGTTTGAGCATTTTTATCGTTTTCAATAAGTGAAAAAGTTGTTCGGCATTAGCGTTGTTGGACGGAAATGTTGAAATGGAAACGGTGCAAATAGGAGAGTTTTGGGTTAGCGTTTTGAAATGTTGCATTTTCTAACTAATTTTATGGTCAAACAACTAAATTACCAAACATCTTCTGACAACCTGCCAACTTACTCCACTAGTCAAATCCGCTGATTGAATCTGCTATTGACAATCCGCTAACATAATTCGTTATCCGCTAAACGCTAAATGCAGACACATAATTAATCCGTCAACTATTGTACGAAGCGCGCATTTGGCACTCGTCTATAAAATTTTCTATATTTAATCATTCAACTATCATAAAATTGATACTTGTGGTCCTTCAACTATTTCACAGTGACTTTTTAGTCCTCCACTTATTCTACTTCATAGTTGAAGGACTAAAAATGTCGATTTGATAACACCTAGAGGACTAATGTGGAAAACTTTGAAATTGATGATTAAAAATGTCTCTCATATAATAGTTGAAATAATAGTTGAAGGACTTAAAATAGAAAAAAATGAATGTATTTTTTATAATCTTCCAATCAAACGGAAACTCTAAATTAAATTTAATCTTTTTTTGTAATTCCTTACATATGTATTCACACACTAACGGACCACCGCCTACGCAAGCGATTTTTTTATAAAACTCCAAAATCACATTATGTATTTATATTATTGATAAAATAACTGAGAAATGAATTTATTGGTGTAAGGTTTGCAGCCTTGCAGGGAACTTGGTATGGAAGTTATGCGTGAACTTAATGCTCACAATTTCCCTCTAGACCTAACTATGTACTATCCAAGTTAAAACTACAAATGGCTTAAATAAGACTCTTGACTTCGTCTCTTATTCATACATTCTCCTCTTATAGTATAGACTAAAATAAAACAAGACTCTTTACTTCACCTTGTTTTTATTTCTATTTTATTCAATTTATTAAATTAAATAATAAATAAATATCACGTAAAAAACAAAACAGATTTTCGTTAGTAGATTAAAACTTCTTAACTAAATATTAAATACATTGTCGCTGAAAAAGACTAAAACTCTTTCAAGTGTAAGTCAGATCATGAGCGTGTTGAAGTATTTATCACGCACTAGTTAGTAACATGTACTACGTATCAGATAGTAAACCACTATATAGTATATAAAAGGCAGTAAAAGATGGGACCTACACGCTTCTAGGCATGAGACAATGCAAAAACACATTGTCCTTATATAGATACAAGGACAATCAACTAAAAAGTTGATCACAAAAGGCATGAACAAATTAAAGTAATCTTGCTCAAAAATGTTTTCCCTTGTCCTTGTATAGATACTACTCGTAGTATTGTTTTTTACTCCATGTCTAAGTGTGGTATGTCCTGTTTAAATAAAGTTAATGTCCGTTTCATAATTATGAGTTAATGTCCTGCTTACTCAGAAATTTGGACATTGTTTTTTAAACATTTAAAATTACATATATTCAACAAATTAAAACTTAGACTCAATCTTTTAAATATTATTGGATATTTACTCTGTGTACATATATCACTATAAAATAGTAAATATCCTTACAAATCTATAATGTCTTTGCACATGTAGGCTACACCTATTCTCACATAGACTTTAAAGGTTTGAGATTTGACCTTAACGCCTTGCCACACCTCACACCTTTTAAAATATTTGATTCGCCTTTTAAGATGGAACATCTCATGCTAACATATACCCATAAAATGGAATTATTTAACTACTATTCAATTTACCCCATTTTGTAAGATACACTTTAATTTTTCGATATTCCAAAATATGAACACTTTCTTAAATTCCACCAGCTTTTACTTTCTCATGTTGGCCCTTTATCTAACATTTCAACTTTTACTTTTTTGTGGACTCATCATACATTTTCTTACTTTTTGAGGTTAGAATGGTATAGCAACTCCTCTTTTATTTTCTTAAAATTCGTGCAAAGTCTAATTAGGATACTTTAGGATATCATGAGTTAACACCATTACAAACCAATTCAATGTAGACATGTAAACTTGTAAAGAGAATGACATGGCATTAAAGCCTAAAATGTGAATCCAATGACACTACATACAAACTGTGATTTGCCAAGGTCATTTGTATCATAAGTTTAGCTATCATATACCCACAGTAATTGCTTGATGGTATAAATCACCATTGGTAAATACTCCCTCCGTCTCCTTTTAAATGTCCCGGAAGAGGATGACACGAGTTTTAAGAAAAGTAGGTTTGTGTGGTTGATATTAATAGATAAAGTAAGAATAAAGTAAGAATGATTTTGAGCCACACAAACTTTACCAAATAAGGTATGGGACAATTAAATAGGGACATCCCAATATGGTAAAATGGGACATTTAAAAGGGGACGGAGGGAGTAGCAATTTATTTGTATTGAGTCTCATCCTTTGTCTAAGCCACACATCCTTTGTCTCTCATTGTATGTAAATCTCATTTCATAATCTCATATCAATATCCACCTTCCTAGATGGAAAAACCAACACAACGACCAACAATAGCTATGTCTATTCTGCATTTTCTTCAAAAACAGACTGTTAACACCTTATATTGCTTGTTTACCCTTTCTTTCCCTCTGATTTTATTTTGAGATCAGATACTTTTTTTTAACTTTGCTCACCTTCTCCTGGGATGGAGGAAGTTGAAACTTGAAAGTTTAAAGGAAAGGCTGAAATAATACTTCCGAGTCTTTACTTGAAACTGAAGTCCACCATCAAAGAATGAGGACCAACCCAATAGTTCATTTGGAATGCACATAAATATCAAAGCAGTTGTAGAATTTGTAACACTAGTTTCATCTGTTGAAAGCTCTATATCTGAATCTACTTTTAGTTATAGTTTACATGAAGATGGAGTATATTTATTTATTCATACTTCTTCGAATCTTCGTACATTCTTTTTACTTTTCCATGTCGCATTATCCAGAGGCAGAGACAGGAGGTTGGCTGGGGCCTCATCTCCCCCAAGAAAAAATTTATGATGTATATATAGATATTTATAAATATTTATAAGCAGTAAAAAATGTAGTGAAATTTTAAGATTTGACCTCCTCGATATAAATTCCTCAAGTCTCATACGGTTTTCATCTTAAAATATGTCTGAGCCTTTGAGGGTGTTTTCCATAATTCCATAGCAAGTAGGTCAAACTGTCCAAGCAATTCTACATTGGCACTCAAGATTCCGACCAATATATTTCATCAGATCTTATTTGAAACAAGCAGGTAATTCCATAATTGCAATGTTATTTATAATACTTGTCCAAATTCAGAATCTTAGCCTCTCTCCGAGGGTCTGTTTGCCTTTTGAAGTGAAGGGAGGGCTTATCCGCTTATGTCTCTTTTCCTCTTGTTTGAGAGTTTTAGAAAATGGAAAGGAATGGTCTGAGTAGTGTTTCTTAATCCCCCCCCCCCCCCCCCCCCCCCCCAAAGCCCTCTAAATGCCTCTTTATAGGTTCTCCATGTTGGTTTTTTAAGCTTATCAAAGACTAAAGTAACCAAGAAAGAAATGAAGATATCTACTCCAATCCATGATATGAGGTGAGTAATTTTAACAATCACTACACAACATGCACACAAGACTAACTTTAAATGCAACTGCAGATACTAACGTTTGCCGTCAATACTCCAGAACACACAGTTTCAACGTTTCTGACATACTTATAAGTTGCTCCGTATAACTCAAATATATTAAAGAAAATTTTGAGGGTTATGAAGTGAGATATTTACAGTGCAGGATGGCATTCAGAACGGTTTCTGAATATCACTTCTCTACCAAAATTGTGTTGAATGACAAGCAAACACATACAGTGACATATTACCTTTCATCATCACTACCAATTCTGTAACTGAGAGGTTATACTCTTAACTCTAGGGTGGTACTGGGTGTGAATGTGCTTCTTGGCTTTTTCTGAACCAGGCCGCTCAAGCCACTCGTTATACAGTCCCTTAATGATGGGGTTCTCTGATGGATTGGCTACCAAGACCTACACATTGAGGGTATATATGAATTTTATATAGATTATCGATAATAAAACCAATAGTGATGGCATGTTAGGATCCCAGAAAATATCAAGTAAAATAAAATTATTAATATGGAAAGTTATTCACTTTCCATATATAATGGAAAATGAAACGCTCATACAAGTAACATTTTCAGTGCTTATATAATGGATAAGAAACACATATGCCCTTGAATAATATGTAAGAGGGCAAATATACTTTTCAACTTCTTTTTAGAAATTTTTTACACGAAAATTGTAAACTTGGAACAAATAAACCCTTATGCCCAATACCTGAGGGATTCATCTGTTCTATGATATATTTATTATTCAATAGTGTATTCGTTCCAACTCTACAACTTTTATGTTCCTCAAAAAAATGAGTTCATATGTTCTCTATCATAATAATCATATAGTTCAAGAGGAAATATGTTTCTTCTCGCATTATATTATTGAAAAAAAATGAAATTATTCTGAACAAAATAACCACAAAAGGTTCTTTGGGGTTTAAGCCTCTCTTTTATCTCCACCCAAGTTTAACTCTTTGTTGGACTATACCAGGCTTCGACCCACTCCAATTTGATAAACAAACATTATCTTTAAGTGAAAATGTTTACAACATGTGGAAACCCTAGTAGAGTTGGGCTTAGCCCATTTTGTATATGTTTGTATATGGAACCCTAGTGCTCTAAATATAGCTAGGGAGAACTACCAAATAAGCCCTCGAACTTTCATAAAAAGTGCAAATAAGCCCTTTTACAGGAGGCTCTGTCCAGCTGTCATCATTTGGGGCTGTTTCCAGTGGAATTTTTTGATGAAATTTTTAGAGCATCTTCTTCATTAAGTCTAGTTTACCCATACCAAATTTCATCTAAATGTGAACAAATTCTCTCTAGTTCTACTGTTCCAACTATGACAGAGGTTTTTTCTCAAATTCTTCGTGCGGCCCCGATATCAGCTGAATTGGGTTCTACTGATTCTACCATTCTTGCATCTCATGGTGTGGGGCCCGACGGAGGAAAAAACAAAGGATATTTGCGTCGAAGCCGACCTAAGTGTGACTACTGTCATAAGATTGGTCATACTAAAGATAGATGTTGGAAGTTACACGGGAGACCTCCTAGCTCAGCCATTGTTGCTCAGATCCCGCCATCTCCGGTTGTTCTACCTCCAACCGAATATGCCGCACATCAGAAATTTAAGTCGGCTAATGTGCCTTTATCTGCACCTGGTACGTCTATCGCTTGTGTTTCAAAAACCACAGGTTCATGGATCATTGACTCAGGTGCTTCAGACCATATTTTTGGTAATTCCCATCTTTTGTCCCATATTACCAAGCACCAACACCTTCCTTGAATTACTCAGGCTAATGGCCATCAAACTTCAGCCACACGTATTGGGCAAGCACTCCCACTTGCATCCTTACCAATACGTTCAGTCTTATATGTTCCTAATAGCCCCTTCAACCTTGTCTCTGTTAGTAAAATTACGCATGCTCTTGATTGTTTATAACCTTTTTTGCTGATTCTGTAATTGTGCAGGACCGTCGTACGGGGAAGACGATTGGCGTCGGGCATGAATCTCAAGGCTTGTATCATCTTCCTCCTGTTGATCCAATCGCTTGTGTCTCTGTTGAACCTGCATTAACGTTACATAACCGTTTAGGTCATCCTAGCCTCTCAAAGTTTCGACGTATGGTTCCAGGTTTCTCAAGTCTTTCGTCTTTAGATTGTGAGTCATGTCACCTTGGAAAGCAACCTCGTCAATCCTTTCCAAGGCGTGTTAATAAACGGGCTGCGTCCCCTTTTGATTTAGTTCATACAGATGTATGAGGTCCGTATCGAGTCAGTTCTACTTTAGGATTTCGCTATTTTGTTATCTTTGTGGACGACTTTTACCGTTACACATGGTTGTTTTTAATGAAAGAACGTTTTGAATTATTCCATATCTTTCAAACTTTTTGTGCCGAAATCCAAACTCAGTTTGGTCATTCTATCAAAATTTTACGCAGTGATAATGCTAAAGAATTTTTTGCGGCACCCTTTAATCACTTCATGACATCACGGGGTATGCTTCACCAGTCTTCTTGTGTACACACGCCTCAACAAAATGAGGTAGCTGAACGCAAGAACAAACACTTAGTTGATACTGCCCGTACTCTGTTATTACATTCACATACACCACCTCATTATTGGGCAGACGTTGTACTCACTGTGTGTTATTTAATAAATAGAATGCCTTCCTCAGTTATTCATAATGAAATTCCTCATTCTGTCTTGTTTCCTACTCGTGAGTTATTTCCATTACCACCTTATGTGTTTGGGTGTGTGTGTTTTGTCCATGATTTTACACCTGGATTATCTAAAATGTCAGCTAAGTCAATAAAATGCATTTTTCTTGGATATTCACGAGTCCAAAAGGGTTATCGTTGTTATTCTCCATTACTTAAGAAGCCTTTTATTTCGGCTGATGTCACTTTTATCGAGTCCTCCTTTTATTACCCATTATCTGCTGCTGATACTCCATCATGTTTGGACTTCATCTCATATCTCCGGCCCATCCATCCACTGTTATTTCCCCTCAATCTGATGACCACCCCCACTGCTCTCTTGTGGTAGACCCTCCTCCATTACAAGTATACCATCGTCGTCCTTGAACTCCTCCCATTGAGCCTATCGTGGCCACGCCAGTTGATTCCCCTATGATGGTTCCTACATCATCACCATCAACTACTGCACCACATGAAAACACCCCGGATGATTTGCCCATTGCCCTCCGAAAAGGTACGCGTTCTACTTTGAATCCACATCCCATATATAACTTTTTGAGTTACCACCGCCTCTCTACCCCTTACTTTGCTTTCATTTCACACTTGTCTCATATACCCATCCCTAAAACAACACATGAGGCATTGGCACATCTGGAATGGCGTAAAGCCATGTTGGCTGAGATGGAGGCTCTTCATTCTAGTGGGACGTGGGAATTAGTTCCCCATCCCCTGGAAAATCAGTAGTTGGGTGTCGGTGGATCTACACCGTTAAAGTTGGTCCTGATGGGCAAGTTCGTCATTTTAAAGCACGCCTTGTGGCAAAAGGGTATACTCAGATTTATGGTTTGGATTACAGTGACACTTTTTCTCCAGTAGCGAAGATTGCATCGATTCGTTTGATTTTATCCATGGCAGCAATGAGCCACTGGCCATTATTCCAATTGGATATTAAAAATGCATTTCTCCATGGTAATCTGCACGAGGAGGTTTATATGGAGCAACAACCTGGTATTGTTGCTCAGGGGGAGTCTGGTTTGGTATGCAGATTACGTCGTGCTTTATATGGCTTGAAGCAATCGTCACGTGCATGGTTTGGGAGGTTTAGTGCTGTTATCTGCGATTTTGGCATGATTCACAGTGATGTCGACCATTCTATATTTTATAGACATTCTGCATGCAACAAATGTATTTATCTTGTTGTATATGTTGATGACATTGTCATTACAGGTAGCGATGAACGAGGAATTGCACTCCTGAAGCAATATCTCTTTAGCAAATTCCAAACAAAAGACTTGGGAAAGTTAAAATATTTTCTTGGCATTGAGGTCGCACAGTCTCAAAATGGAATTGACATTTCACAAAGAAAATATGCATTGGATATTCTTGAGGAAACAGGTATGCTAGAGTGCTAGAGTGCAGGCCAATGGATACATCAATGGATCCAAACGTCAAACTTTTGTCAGAACAGGGAGATCTTTTGCCCAACAGGGAAAAGTATAGAAGGCTGATTGGCAAATTGAATTATCTTACCATCACGAGGCCAGATATTTCATTTGCGGTAAGTGTCCTTAGTCAGTTTCTTGATAAGCCATGTAGTGGACATTGGGATGAAGCTATTCGAGTTTTGAGATACATCAAGAAAACACGTGGGCAAGGATTGTTGTTCGAAGACCGAGACCACCATGATATTGTAGGATACTGTGATGCAGACTGGGCCGGATGTTTGAGGGATAGACGTTCCACTTCATGATATTGCATTTTTATTGGTGGAAACTAAATCTCATGGAAAAGTAAGAAACAGGATGTGGTTGCAAGATCTAGTGCTGAAGCAGAATATCGTGCAATGGCCCTTGTGACATGTGAAATCTTATGGTTGAAGCATCTTCTCCGAGAGTTAAAATATGGAAACACAAAACCAGTCCAACTCATGTGTGACAACCAAGCCGCAATGCACATTGCATCAAATCCGGTATATCATGAGAGGACTAAGCATATTGAAGTTGATTGCCATTTTATCCGAGAGAAGATCGTGAGCGGACATATCATCACAAATTATGTCAACGCAACCGAACAACTTGCAGATATTCTAACTAAGTCTCTTAGAGGTCCTAAAGTGGGATATATTTGTAACAAGCTTGGTACATATGATTTATATGCTCCAACTTGAGGGGGGGTGTGGAAACCCTAGTAGAGTTGGGCTTAGCCCATTTTGTATATGTTTGTATATGGAACCCTAGTGCTCTAAATATAGCTATAAATATAGCTTCTTGTATAGCATTTGATATCAAGTATATGAAATATAATAATACTTGTTCACACAACAAAACTTTATATGATGATATGTTTTTCTGGCAGAGCACATGTTCCAAATCTCGAATTTTTAGGAGCTCTGGCTATTGCCCTTGTATAGTAGTTCCATTTCTTTGAATACTTGATTATTATTAGGTTAAGCGGATCCTAGGCAGGGGTTTTTTAAAATCAATGATATAACTGAACCACAATATGGGCAAAGCACATACATATATACAACCATAATAGTCAAGGTTATAACACAGGTGCAAACAATTTACATACATTTTCCATGTAAGCTTTCTCCAACATTTGGATCAGATCTTTTGCAGATTGCCCAGCCCTCGGTTTTATTTGACCGCCACCATTTAAGCACCCTGTTTATCAGATCCCCCAATTGTATCTCAAGATCATAAGTCTTCATAAAAGTGTTCAGATACTCAATTATTAATATAGCACCCGTGGAAGAAGAAAAAACCTGAAGGGCATGCCATGATCTCTAGGAATTGATAATCACACTTCCCCGTTTTGATTTTCCTAACCACATTCTGCAGATTTCGGAAACCATAACACCGTGCAAATTTCAGAACACTTTTTCCCTCCACCTGAAATTGTTATTATTAGCCAGTGAATATAATAAAAATTGATTAGCAGTTAAAGATCATGCTCAACTACATACCATTACAAATATGAATAACTAACTGTTACAGGCGTGATCGGGAGAGGGAAAATAGAAGATTGAAAAGTATGGTAATTGGAAAAGTAACACAGCTTCCCACCCTAGAAGAGTCTGTCGGCTTCACAGAGTGCACAAGAAGAATTATTTCTCCAAAAGATTAAAGATCTTATTTATTATTGAATAAAGCACCTCTATTTATACAAGTTCCAAAGGTCTTGGTGGCCCATTATTAGAGTAACCCTGACTTTATTACAATACTTCTATTAGGGACGTTAGCTATATTATAGTATCTATGCTAATAGGAACTGCAACTGCTAATAACAACAGGAAACTAATACTCCTTATACAGGAAACTATTAATGATGATGATGATGATGATGATGATATAATAGGCATCTTTGCTACATGTCACTTACCTCTAGACTAACTTCTTGGAAATCTGAATTCCTTATGATATTAAAGTTTAAAGAATATCCAGCTTCCTTCCCAAACAATTCTTTAGCAGCATAACGGAAAATGGTCTCTGCATATCCTCCTGAGCTCCCAGGTACTCCATATAGATGTCCTTCATCATCAATATTTGTTAGCCTGTATATTAAAAATCCAGTCCATTGTTAACCAAAATATGCTAAATAAATGACACTTGTGCAGTGTATAACACTGACTTACAATTTATCTAATGGAGATTCTTCCAAGGAATTAAATTCAATTGCTTTTGACTGCAGTTGAGAAATAGAAGTATGTCAATAGCAACAAATTCTCACAAACAAAATAGGAAAAGCAAAGAAACGAGAACTAACATACATGATACATCAGATTCACATATAACATACACAAACATACATTAGAAATTTAATAATACAACCATCTGCAAAGGTAGATCACATTTGACTTTTTGGTCAAAGATGTTGGCTGAACTTCGACTGATAATATAATCTTAGACAAAAACGATTTATATAATGTGAAACAAGTGGTAAAATCATTGGGTGAACCTGTATCAACTCCAAAACCTCTCCCGTAGTCAAAACCGAATCTACCTCTGTAATTTCTTCACCATCACCATCCACATTAAACACAAAATCATCACGTGATGCTTCAAGTTTCTTGTCATAACAAGGCATCACTGAGACATGGTATATATCCTCAGGCCTGTTCAGACATTAATATTTGGGGAAAAGTTTAGCTCCTTTATTGCTTTTGGACCACTTTAGCCATCAAATGAGGGAACATGACAGCCCACAAACCACTCAATTAATAAAATGCATGCAGGACAGTGGACATCATACTACACAATTATGAAAAATATAAAATGATGGCCCATCACCTAGTGTGCAGTTTTTCGCATACATAATTCTTAACAATAGCACCAATAGTCTGTTGGGGGCTCTTGACTGAGGAAATGAAAGGAAGAATGTATGATCCAAGTGTTTTCTCAGCATAGCATATCCATCCTGTAGTTTTAATAGATAATCAAATTTTATGATAAAAACATCAATGGATCAACGAAGGATCAAAGAGAACAAGTTATCCACGCAGAAGGGGATTAGACACACAAGTACCACAAGAAAGTACCTGGACATGCAGAAGATATCATAGGCAATTGCGACTTTGATTCCTCCACACCTGGTATTTGGGATTGCTTATAACGTTCTATAAACTCATTACAAGATTCAATCAAAGTTAAGTCTCGACTGGAGCTTGTATCAAATATAGCACTCACACCCAAGGATTTGAAAAATGTTGTCAATTTCCTAAAGGCCTGAAAAATAAAATTAGCAAACTTAAACATGCTTTCGTGCTTCTTTATGCATGTGTGTGCAGAGGCATATGCTTCAACTAAAAATTGATGCCATTATCCTCTCATGATTCCTTTGCAAACACAACTGGAGAAATACTTGCAATATACTTTTTTACAGTGATCAACTGTTAGCTAATTTAGATAATTGATTGACATTATAACTTTCAGGCAGCCAACTCAGCATACACAGGCAGAGGTAGGGACTAGGAAGGGGTTGTCCATCCCCTCAGCCACCCTAACTCTGGTTCTAGGAAGCACGGAAACGGCATTCCTCTTCCAGTTTCCGTCCTGGAAACGTTTTGGAAACGGGAAATGCCAGGAAACGTTAGGAAACGGCCGAAAATGCTGGGGAAAGGTTTCTGAGGTATTCGGCTTTTGGGCCAGGATAGAGAAAGGTTTCAGCAGATGCGCTCATCACCTACACTTTTCTTAATAATTTTAAAAAATAACCTTGGTTGACTTTCACACTCCCAGTCCCTATCGACAAACTTGCTGAAACAATACGTTTTCTTTGCAATTCCCCTCAAGGCAACAACGTTCGAGTGTTCAGAAGAAACTGTTGACGCACACAGAAGCTCGATGCAGAGAGCATCAGAAATCCGTTTGTCTGCTACAGTGCTACTCTACTGGACGGCTGAGAATTTGGGTGAGGTGGTGAGCGCATCTGCTACTCTGCTGGACGGCTGGGAATTGTTGTTAGCTTCGTATTTAATCTTTTCCAGAAATTGAGTGCTTCTTATATTTATTTTTTTAAGTACGAACCATATGGAAAGTTCTTGTAGTGAACCTGGGAGTGGGACAGGGAGTTCTTGGTGCTGATAATACACTTTTGTGGAACTATAACAATGATATATGTTTGATATATTTATTTTGTATTTATTCGACGTAAATATTACTTATATTACTAAAATTTAAATTTTTAGTTCGACGTTTCCTTGTTGTACCCATATCTTGATATTTTGAGATTGGAGTTTCCCCGTCCTCGTCCCCGTTTCCGTCCCCGTTTCCATTTCCGTCCCGGTGCTATTTAGCTCTGGTTTAAGTAAGCCTTTGTATATATACTTTGAATTATAGAGTGTAAAAGAGTGTGAAACAGTGAAAGGTTTGTTCAAACGAGCCACTGACCCTATATTGGTCGAATTATTCCTTTGTATGCACATTGTAAGTACCTAATGAGTAAAGCTGAGTAATAACTAAGCTGTCAATTGAAAATAACAAAGAGTTGGAATATTATAAATTATGTTTTTCAATGCATTTGATTCCTTTGATTGTTTTCAATTTTTAAATGTGATCAACCTAGTATCAAGTTGTGGCTACACCTTGGCCAACACATGTCGGGATCAAGGTGGTGGCGATGATACCATCGGGACAAAGGAGAAGATATGTATCCTTGTAACTAACCTGATGTGGGGAAAGGTTGAAGTGGACAGCAAGTGAAGCTCTAGACTGTGGGGAAAGAGAGACAACCACCACCTTGCCTTTGTTTATGTTTGAAAGAAACTCATCTAGGCTCTGCTTCTCAAGCATTACTGTCTCTGCTGAAGTAATGCATCCACTGAATGATGGACACTAATTAGATTAAATACTTGCAGATACTTAAACATGACTCAATTTGAAGTTTTGAACAAAAAAAAACCTATTCAAGGTGATACATATGTAAGTGTGGGAGTAGCAGGCTCAAAGATCCCAAAAAGAATGCTTCCATACAAGGCTATGCATATCACAATAGGTCCCAAAACACAATGCGATAGACTTCTATTACAAGTTGCAACACCTTAAACCCAAAAATAGCAAAGAATACACCTCTCTCCTAAATGCACATAAAGTACAACTGATTAAAGCAAATGGGAAGGGAGAGGATGATAAATACCTACATGCTAAGCAGTCCTTGAGAGAAATCTTAACAGCCTCATTTGTTACAGATGGTTTTGGAGCTTCTTCAACTTTTACTGAGCGCTATTCATGCACCATAAAGAATTGATTCAATTGAAAGCAACATATTATCACATAAATCTAAAATATTATTCGGTGATAAACAGCATAAATGAATTTACTCAACAGAATATTGCAATATTGCTCAAGAGTTGAAAGCTACATATGATCTTTCTTAAATACCTTGAATTTTAAAAACTAAAAATGGGATATCTCACATCTGTCCTATGCACCATGTGACAAGATGTATTTAATATCCTTTTAGTTGACAAAAATAGGATTCTTGAAAGAATATTTCCATGCACGAGATAGCATGACTGTTTAGATTTTCCATTTATAGATATTAATAAGAGCATTGTAATGCATCTTGTCAGGTGCACCTGGTGCAGATGTTAGCCAACACGTACGAAATAGAAAATACTCTATTACAAACAACATTCCATCAACCATAGTTAATCGCTTCTAAGTTCACCTAAATGTCCCAAGAAAGCAATTAACATATTCAATCCAAAACCATAGTAGCAAGCATTGCATCAATTTTATTGAACTGAAAATTCACCACCATAGCATTTATAAAGTATAACACAACAATAATTGACTAAAAGCCTAGAAACTAGAATTGCAACTCGATACCTCGAGTTTTTCAAGCCTATTGGAATTTGCTTTGAGGGAAACAACACAACCTTGGGATGGAGCTATGTAATCATTCAAATCCCCGATCCTCAATGTTGCCGAGAACTTCTCTGACATTCTGAGAATGACAATGGTTAAAAACACATAACGAATATTAAGCATTCTGTGAAGTGTAAGGAAAAGAAACAAAATTAAGCATACTAGATTCAAAACCATTCAATTAGCACATAACGAATAGTGTACTAGATGCAACCCAGATTTAAAGATTGCACACGTAGCATCTGGCTACTAAGAGAATGGAGTAAATCTAGTTTTAATTACTCACTTGTCATTTCCTTTTTGCGACAAACAAATATTTATTAATTTTACATTATTTAAATGCTAGTCATTTTTCCAAAGCTAAAGCCATATACATAACTACTTTCTGCAAATGAAAAGAAAAAAGGCCAAAATTAGTTCAATTCAAAAGCAAACCCCTTTGCAAAAAGAGGGTATGTCTGGAATAATACAGAGGAAAACAGCACAACGCTGTTACAACATTGGGGTTAGGAAGGAAGCAACAACATATTTCAAGCCTGTCATGAAAAATACACCACTTCCAAAACTAATTCAAATGCAAATAAAAAAACCGCTTCCGACAATACTTACTAATAGTATGTTAATCATAAAAATCAGTTCATACTTCATAGACATCACCAAGAAACAGATAAAGATACAGGGCGATGTTAACTTGTAAAGAGTCAGAATCAAATTTCTTCGGTCTTGCTTTTCAGATCATTAACCAGTTAGTGTGTGAAGTCAAAAAATTAGTGTTACAAAAACATTGTCGATAATGCTGACAAGCGATCACAAAAACTGAAATATATAAAGGCTACAAAACGGTCACTAAATTCATCAAAAAGTGATTGAGGCCTCGTAGAACGTGAGACTCATATAACTTGTTGAAATGTGGATCTCTAACTGGATTTCCAGTCAGGGACCCTATCCAGCCAGTCTCGGTCTTGGCCTTTTCTTGAAATTTGTGTCATAAATGGGTCCGGAATTGCAAACGATATGTGGTGTGAATGAGGTCGTGCAGGTACCTAGCTTTAGAGCTAAGTACCAGGGGCGGATCCGGGATTGAGATGTGGGGTGGGCTAAGCAGTAAAAAAATTGTTACTATACATACAAGGTTTAGCACAAAGTTGTTATAGAATCAAGCTTTTTTCGAATTATATACTCGAGTTCAAGCTTGATTTCGCCTCTAATTTAATAACCCGGGCTAAACAAGCTTCGAACATTGTGATGCATGGTTTGATACGGACACGAGCCTATCGTTCACTTATAAATTATAGGAATAAATTATATACGGAGTATATCTTAAAATTTAAATGATTTTGTGCAATTTTATAAATTTATTAATGATTATTAAAGATTCGAGTATTTATTGAATAATTCGAACATGAATCTATTAAGAGCGCGGTCTAAACTTCTACATTCAAGCATGTTTATCGTGTGTTAAGTTTCACTTCATATTCACTTCATTTTCATACTATACGAGCTCAATTTCATACTATATTCACTTAATTTTCCTTTTGGTAGGATGTTCATTATATGTTCTAAAATACATTTTCAATAATGGTATGAGTTCAATCCTTGTACATAAAACTAATAAGTATTTCCAATTTCAAAATTGGATTGTTAGCTAAATATATCTCCAACTATCATCAAATTCACAGATATATCCCATACTTTCACTTTTATTAAAAAAAGACTCAAATTTTAGGTTTTCTCACAATTACACTTTCAAAGGATACATTAGTAAAACTTAAGAAGAAAATCATATTAATATTTCATATTTTTCACTTTTTCTAGTTTGAAGTTCACAAACTTGTATTGTTATATCTTATTGGTATTGATTAAAATGTGTGATTTTGAAAAAGAAAAAAAGAGAAGCATAATTAGTGAAAAGGATGAAGTTTGAGTCTTTTTTTATAAAAGTGAAATCATCATTTTCATTTACCCCAGTGCCGCAAAGGCTCCCACCTACAGTGGGGTAAGGGGGGGTCGGATGTACGCAGTCTTACCCCTGTATTAAAGCACAGAGAGACTGTTTCCGGATGACCCATAGTGAAAATTTTAATTCTTTCTTACATGCCATACAATAAATAAATCATTCTCTAATCTTCAATTCAATTGTATCATAAATAAATCATTTTCTAATCTTTAATTCTATCTTTCATCATAATAAATATATAATGAATAAACACTATTTTATTATCTACTAAGAAAATCAATTAATAATCAAATACAATTGCAAAATTTTAAAAATACACAGTCACAACTCACAAAAAAATACATTAATAATCAAATACAATGCTAAAAATAATAATAGATTAATACACAAATACACAATAACTTATAACTTCAAGTCGGCAATTGGACTTTAGAAATAGAATTTGGAGAATAACAATTAACACATTCATAATTTAACAACAACAAAAAAAATCAAAAATCTAAAACCGAAATTGAATTTGGAGAATTGGAGTTTACCTGGAGGAAGGCGCAGGTGGGCGGACTGAGTCCAGACTCCAAAGAAGAAGGGCGGACCGGCGGCGGCGGACGACGCAGGTGGGAGGACGACGTAGGCGGTGTGGGCTCGCTTCACCCTCGCTGGTTCACTTCGCAGCTCGGCCAGCTCCTTCACCCTCGTCACAGAATCACAGGACTTCAATCGCGTATGCAGTTCTAATTTGCCTAACTGCTCAAGTCAGTAGGCCGAGAAGCGCAGTGCTGGGATGTGGGCTGGAGTGCTGGAGTGCGGGGCTGGGAGTCAACTTTGGGCTGGGCTGAGAATTAATTTTGAAGTGGGCTCATAATATATCATATACCTATACTAACTATAAAAAAATATTGGGTTGGGTTGAAGCCCACCCCTGCCCTCAAATAGATCCGCCCCTGCTAAGTACTAAGTAGCACCGGGAAGGAAACAGAAACGGAGTCAGAAACAGGGAAACTCAAATCTCAAAATATCAAGATGGTACTACAAGGAAAAGGTAGAATTAAAAATTAAAATTTTGCTAATAAAAACAAATATAGGTCATGTTTCTGTGCTTACTAGGTTACATCCTTACTTACTCTTTGCTGAACAAGGGAGTCGCCAAATCCCAAAATTCTACGTAGCTCAAAACTCTGTGTCTGCGGTGAGAGTGTACTGCCGACGAGCTTCTCAGCCTTCTCTGCGAGACTCAGGCTGCGTCTGCTAGTCGCCGAGTCTGCGATGTTGGAGGCTTGAGAGTATGTTTTCAAGAGTGATTCCCGTCCGCCTCAGACTATGAAGGCGACTCAGCTTCTCAGCCGTCCAACCGCGATTGCGTCCACCTGAGCGATTGAACTACTCATGTCCTCTGTAACTCTGTTTGCCAATCCTCCGTTTCAAGTTTCAGAGTGAAACAGTTCGGTGCGATTGAGCGGATGTTTAGTAGGGTGAGTGGCAATAGGCCCGTACACGGGTGGGCACCATAGTTCCAAAGTTATTTCAGGTTCTGCGAGCTCCATCCGGTCACTTCGTTGATTCGAACCGGTCAATCAATCTCTCACCACTCGACCAACTGAACTACCTGTGCGGGTACTAAATTTACTAAATTTGGTGGTTGTTTTGATGTCTGAGAAGAGGTTCTCTCATCTCATCTAAATGTTTCTGATATGAATTTTTTAAATTATGATTTGATCTAATTTAAGTTTTTCTAATTTAATCTGAATTTTCTGATCTAGTCTGATCTGATTCTAAATCTTTCTGAAATTCTGATCTAATCTAAATTCTTCTGATCTGACCTGATCTCAGTCTTTCTAATCTAATCTGATTTGAATATTTCTATAATTATAATTATAATTATAATTATTATAATTCTAATCATGTTTTTAATTACAATTGTAATTATAATATTTATTTCTATAATTATAATTGTAATTATGATTATAATTATTTATACTCACTCCAGTCCCAAAAGAACTTCATGGTTTGACTTCACGATTTTAAAGAAGGTGAATTTTTTAGGAACATACCTAAAAATAATACTACGTAATAAAAACAACAACGATGACAACGACGAAAACGACGATAACAACGGCAACAACAACAACTCTAACACTTGAGATTTAATTTAAACGGATTAATATTACTACGGAATAAATACTATTTTATTATCTACTAAGAAAATCAATTGATAATCAAATACAATTGCAAAATTTTAAAAATACACAGTCACAACTCACAAAAAAATACATTAATAATCAAATACAATGCTAAAAATAATAATAGATTAATACACAAATACACAATAACTTATAACTGCAAGTCGGCAATTGGACTTTAGAAATAGAATTTGGAGAATAACAATTAACACATTCATAATTTAACAACAACAAAAAAAATCAAAAATCTAAAACCGAAATTGAATTTGGAGAATTGGAGTTTACCTGGAGGAAGGCGCGGGTGGGCGGACTGAGTCCAGACTCCAAAGAAGAAGGGCGGACCGGCGGCGGCGGACGACGCAGGTGGGAGGACGACGTAGGCGGTGTGGGCTCGCTTCACCCTCGCTGGTTCACTTCGTAGCTCGGCCAGCTCCTTCACCCTCGTCGCAGTCTCGCTTCGCAGTTCACAGAATCACAGGACTTCAATCGCGGATGCAGCTCTAATTTGCGTAACTGCTCAAGTCAGTAGGCCGAGAAGCGCAGGTAAGTGCTGGGATGTGGGCTGGAGTGCTGGAGTGCGGGGCTGTGAGTTAACTTTGGGCTAGGCTGAGAATTATTTTTGAAGTGGGCTCATAATATATCATATACCTATACTAACTATAAAAAAATATTGGGCTGGGCTGATGTAATACCCGAGATTAATTTAAGAGGATTAATAGTACTACTCATACCAATAGAGGTGCATCTCTTTTTAAGGGAGCTCATCACCCAAGAACTCCAAAGTTAAGCGTGCTTGCACGGGAGTAGTCTTGGGATGGGTGACCCCCTGGGAAGTTTCTCAGGGCGCGCATGAGTGAGGACAAAGTGCGCGGTAAAGGCTCGTGGTGGTTTGTGGGGACAGTACTAGAGGTCTAGAGTAACTACCTCGGGTCCGTGCGAGGCCGGGATGTTACAGGTGGTATCAGAGCAACCCTGCGACAGTGTGCTGACCCGTTAGATATCGGGCGGGCACTTAGCGGGGCAAGATTCTGGGGTTTTATTGAGATTGTATTAAGGGCGCAACGAGGACGTTGCGATCCTAAGTGGAGGTGATTGTAATACCCGAGATTAATTTAAGAGGATTAATAGTACTACTCATACCAATAGAGGTGCATCTCTTTTTAAGGGAGCTAATCACCCAAGAACTCCAAAGTTAAGCGTGCTTGCACGGGAGTAGTCTTGGTATGGGTGACCCCCTGGGAAGTTTCTCAGGGCGCGCATGAGTGAGGATAAAGTGTGCGGTAAAGGCTCGTGGTGGTTTGTGGGGATAGTACTAGAGGTCTAGAGTAACTACCTCGGGTCCGTGCGAGGCCGGGGTGTTACAGGTGGTATCAGAGCAACCCTGCGACAGTGTGCTGACCCGTTAGATATCGGGCGGGCACTTAGCGGGGCAAGATTCTGGGGTTTTATTGAGATTGGTTTAAGGGCGCAACGAGGACGTTGCGATCCTAAGTGGAGGTGATTGTAATACCCGAGATTAATTTAAGAGGATTAATAGTACTACTCATACCAATAGAGGTGCATCTCTTTTTAAGGGAGCTAATCACACAAGAACTCCAAAGTTAAGCGTGTTTGCACGGGAGTAGTCTTGGGATGGGTGACCCCCTGGGAAGTTTCTCAGGGCGCGCATGAGTGAGGACAAAGTGCGCGGTAAAGGCTCGTGGTGGTTTGTGGGGACAGTACTAGAGGTCTAGAGTAACTACCTCGGGTCCGTGCGAGGCCGGGGTGTTACAGCTGAAGCCCACCCCTGCCCTCAAATAGATCCGCCCCTGCTAAGTACTAAGTAGCACCGGGAAGGAAACAGAAACGGAGACAGAAACAGGGAAACTCAAATCTCAAAATATCAAGATGGTACTACAAGGAAAGGTAGAATTAAAAATTAAAATTTTGCTAATAAAAACAAATATAGGTCATGTTTCCGTGCTTACTAGGTTACATCCTTACTTACTCTTTGCTGAACAAGGGAGTCGGCAAATCCCAAAATTCTACGTAGCTCAAAACTCTGTGTCTGCGGTGAGAGTGTACTGCCGACGAGCTTCTCAGCCTTCTCTGCGAGACTCAGGCTGCGTCTGCTAGTCGCCGAGTCTGCGATGTTGGAGGCTGGAGAGTATGTTTTCAAGAGCGATTCCCATCCGCCTCAGACTATGAAGGCGACTCAGCTTCTCAGCCGTCCAACCGCGATTGCGTCCACCTGAGCGATTGAACTACTCATGTCCTCTGTAACTCTGTTTGCCAATCCTCCGTTTCAAGTTTCAGAGTGAAACAGTTCGGTGCGATTGAGCGGATGTTTAGTAGGGTGAGTGGCAATAGGCCCGTACACGGGTGGGCACCATAGTTCCAAAGTTATTTCAGGTTCTGCGAGCTCCATCCGGTCACTTCGTTGATTCGAACCGGTCAATCAATCTCTCACCACTCGACCAACTGAACTACCTGTGCGGGTACTAAATTTACTAAATTTGGTGGTTGTTTTGATGTCTGAGAAGAGGTTCTCTCATCTCATCTAAATGTTTCTGATATGAATTTTTTAAATTATGATTTGATCTAATTTAAGTTTTTCTAATCTAATCTGAATTTTCTGATCTAGTCTGATCTGATTCTAAATCTTTCTGAAATTCTGATCTAATCTAAATTCTTCTGATCTGACCTGATCTCAGTCTTTCTAATCTAATCTGATTTGAATATTTCTATAATTATAATTATAATTATAATTATTATAATTCTAATCATGTTTTTAATTATAATTGTAATTATAATATTTATTTCTATAATTATAATTGTAATTATGATTATAATTATTTATACTCACTCCAGTCCCAAAAGAACTTCATGATTTGACTTCACGATTTTAAAGAAAGTGAATTTTTTAGGAACATACCTAAAAATAATACTACGTAATAAAAACAACAACGATGACAACGACGAAAACGACGATAACAACGGCAACAACAACAACTCTAACACTTGAGATTTAATTTAAACGGATTAATATTACTACTCATACCAATAAGGTACATCTCTTTTTAAGGGAGCTCATCAGCTAAGAACTCCAAAGTTAAGCATGCTTGCACGGGAGTAGTCTTGGGATGGGTGACCCCTGGGAAGTTTCTCAGCGCGCGCACGAGTGAAGACAAAGTGCGTGGAAAAGACTAGTGGCGGTTTGTGATAACAGTAATAGAGGTCAGAAGTAACTACCTCGTGGCCTGCGGGGCCGGGTGTTACAAATGGTATCAGAGCAACCCTGCGACAGTGTGTTGACCCGTTACATATCGAGCGGTCACTTAGCGGGGGAGGATTGTAACACCGGACCCGAATTTTTACCCGGAGAAATTTTTTTCATCAAGTACATGGTTAACGAAGGTAAATCAAGACTAGAATAGCCTTGATAAATGAGAAAGATAAAATTATTGTCTTAAATTAATAATGGATTTATAATCAGACGTGGGACTCACATCGGGGGCGGGGACCACCCGTGGTATTCTTAGTGTATAAAAAATTAATGTTGATCTAAACAATACTATTTTGATAGTAGGAATGAGTCGTGGACCCCTTACCGGTATAAGTAATTGAACAGATAATAGTCTGAAATAAATTTCGGGGATCATTAAATTCAAAGTTGGGTAATATATATTCATTCAAGAGGCCAATATTAATTGGAAGAATGATACATATTTTATTTGGCTCGATTGAATGAAATTTAATTAAAACAGTCCAGAAAATACAACTTTCGGGACCGAATGTACACTTCGGAGCACAAAGGGATAACCCCCACGTGAGTGGGGGCCACCCCACGAAATTATGCACATAATATTTGACTTTGGGGCTGCAAACACATGGGAGAATGCATGATGTGGGTGAAGAGATGGGTGAGACACAAATGATAGGTGGGGGGACCCTCCTCCACATTATTTTGAGGTGTTCACAAAGTAATCATCCTATCACACCCACTCTTACCATAATTTCGGCCATCACACCAAAGAGAGAGAGAGAGGAGAGCCTCTACAATTCACCATCCTTCATTGTTGAAGCAATCTCAAACCAAGGAAGCTCCAAGGAAGAAGAAAGAGTGAGAAAAGAAGAGAAAAACTTAGAAAATCAAGGTAATGATCTCATTAGTATTTTTTCTTCCTTCATTTAATCTTATATGATTTTATAAATCATATGATGACCCATAAGCTTGTTCTACACTCCTAGAGGTGTAGAATGAGGGGTTGGAAGGATAGTTTCAACCATGAACGAAGTTATGACCGGAGTAAGACCGGTTCGCCGGAAAACACCTTCTCGGAGGGTTTGATGTTTATACCACTTTTGGCTTATAAAACCTTGTTAGGAATTTCACCAAGGTATTCTAGACTTCTGAAGAAAGCAAGGAGTGGTTGGAAAAGTCATCGGAGCCGCCGGAGTTTTCGCCGGAAAATTCCAAAAGTCGCCGGAGTTCAAACGAAGAGGATAAAAGCTCACTAGCGTCATTTCAAGGTGAGTGGACGACTACGTGTCTTGTAACTCTTGGGTCAAACGTGGGATTACCTAAATAAAATCATAATCATGATTTGAGAAATGATTAAAATGATTAAAATGCATGATTAGTCATGGTGAACATGAATAGTGAAAATGATACATGGTTAATGAATAAGAGATTTATTTGTGGATTAATCATGAATATATTATTGTTAAATGTATAAAAATGCATACATGGACTATGTATGAGATAACTAGAGTAATAGAGTATGTGGATATGTATAGAAATGTTTGAAAGTGTTTAAACATATGATTAACCATATTGATTATAAATTAAGTGAGAGTGACATGATTAATTAATTAGTAAAGAATTATTAATATTCTTGATGAAGAATAATCATGAATGATTATTTGAGAAGTGACTAAAGAAATTCAAGATGGTATTCTTGTGAAGGATTCAAGTATTAAATCATGCAAGTCACTAAAGTAAAACTAGTTTATGAGAAATAAACTAGGGAAATATACAAGCTATGATTAATTAATATAAATGTTTTGTTGGCTCATTTGATAAATGACCAAAGTAATTCAAGTAATATTCTTGTGAAGAATTAAGAAATTCTTAAGTACACGTGATACTAAGATAACCTAGTTTATGAGAAATAAACTAGAGTAATATACAAGAATGATTAACTAGTATGAATGACCCGATTAATAATTTTTTTGAATAAAATATTCCAATTGGATGATGACCATGAATGGCTCATTTTATGAAATGAATAAAGGGAATTTGTAACACCGTCCCCAAGTTTATTTAGTTTTAGTAAATCATGTAATAAACCTTGAATAATGATTCGTGAATTTACGAGGTTGTAAATTTTTGTTATTACGTTCACGTGAATAGTGAATTGCACGTGGGGCCCACATCGGGAGCGGGGACCACCCGATAAACCCGGGACCACATATTATATTCATCCTGGTCTAGATAGTATTTATATGGTGGTGAATATTTTAATTGGGCCATAGAAAGGGCATACGGGAGCAAGTCTTCAATGAAGGAGCAAAGGACATCCCTACACTGGCTGAGGTATTCATGCATGAACGGAGGGCAACTACAAAGTTCATAAGTAATGTAGAGTTAAGACTGCACAAACGATTGATCAAGATGAAGAATCATTTTGATCAACTCCTGGACCTGCGCTTCGAAGAAGTTCACAGGCATATCAGAAGCAATCTGAAGATTCAACAAGTGTTCAATTCTCAGGAAAAGTCTCAACTTCAAATACAGCTCAAAAATCAGCCAGCTCAATCAGAGGCTATCCAGAAGGCTCTTGAGGAACTTTAAGTTGTATGAATGCAACTACAAGAGCAATTTCTCAATCTCCAGCAAGCACAAGCTGCAGCAGTGCCCTCACAACCTGAAGCAGAGTCCTCTGCCCAACCAGAAGCAGAGCCCTCTGCCCAGGTACTTCTTAATCCTACTTTATCCGCTAACCTTGAGCAGGCCATTCCACTCATCCAGGAGCATGAGGCATTCATCCAACACCTAAAGAACAAAGAGCTTCCAGCCTTTCTTCAACTCTCCCAGAAGGTGGTCACAAAACAAGTAGAACATTCTGAAGCCATTGCAAAAACCAGGGATGATGTTGCCAAACACCTAACCAGAATGCACACTGCCACTCAAGAGGCATTCTTAAAACAAGGAGGTGAACTTCAAGCACTTGGACAACATATACAAACCACTAATCACAGTCTTCAAAACTTGGATCGAATTGTCAAAGAAGATGTCCAAGTAGATGTCATGGATCTTCGCAACATTGTCAATGCAGTAGCAATCGAAGTGAGTGATATGCATCCAGGAAGAAGAAGACAAGTGGAAGTTGACTCGGATCCTGAAATAGAAGTCTTATTTCAAGAAAGCATGACCCCTTTTGATGCCAAAAAGGGGGAAGGTTCAACACAAGCAGGCCCCTCCTCCTTGAGATCACAAGCAGCCAAGAGAGGAGCAGAAACCAGAAGAAAGAACCAGTGCCTCAAAGAAGAAACGGAGATCAGGAGAAGAAAAGCAGAAGAAGCAAAGGCAAAAGAAGAGGCCAAAAAGAAACAAGAAGAAAACAAACAAGACTAGAATAGATATAGTCCGAAATTGACTATAAACTATTGTACCTTAGAAACTAGAACAATGTACAAAACTCAAATGAAAAATCAATAAAAATATTTTATTCTTGTGTTGTATAGTTTTGGCGTCATCAAAAAGGGGGAAATTGTTAGTACCCAATTTTGATAGATTTTGATGATGCCACTATACTTAGCACGTGTACATTGTATCTCAATATTGTTCGTGTGTTAGCATTCAAAATTATGTGACAAAATAAAATGTACATTTTTTGAGTCGATTTGAATATTACCCGAAAATTTAAAATGCAATAAGGTAATTTTTATTTACCTTAATAGGATATTTAGATCCTACCGGTATATATCATTTTAGCTCAAAAGTTAACTGTATGTCACATTATTAAAGAAAAGAAGCTCGGAAAATCATATACATTGAATGTATATGATTGAAGACAAAATATGACCGGCATTTAATGCCAAAAACGTACCAGGGTCCGAAGCAGTGTACGCACACAAGGGACTAACTCCTGAATTGAAGTTTGGGCGGCTGAATAATGCAAGATAAGGAAATCACCGGGAAATCAGCTCCAACACAAGAAGACAATTATACAAGTCGTCCTTGTCAATTTTCAACGAACAAGATCAATCCATCCTAACCAACGGATGAGATTAATCAACTGGAGTAGCCTATAAATATAGGCTGAAACGAAAGTTTCTAACCAAGCTTTGAGCATCCAAAGTAGAGAAATTCTTTCACGAGCATTCACGAGCTATCTAGCAAAAGAGAAAGTGCTATTCTAAACTTTACTCTCTGCTTGGACTCATGCTTCACTAAACTTCCAGTTTACAAGCTATTCATTGCTAAATCATAGAAGTTTAGTTCCTAGTTGGAGGTTAGAACTTTCTTGTAACATTTCACAAATTGTTGTAAACACTTAGGAGAACAGTTGTTCAGATCCTAAAGTGTGAGTAGATAGATATAGTACCTTTTGATCCCCACTGGTTCATTAGAGAAAAGTCTAAGGACTGAGTAACTTTGAGTGGTGCTATACTCATCGTGAAAAACCTTCAATCTAGGCCTAAGTGTTATAAAGGCTAGATTGGCACTAAGTGTATTGGGCTTAATACTTTAGTGAAATCCATCTGAAAGAGGGTGGGACTGGACGTAGGAGGATTACACCACCTCTGAACCAGGATATACTGTGTGTTGATTTACATTCATTCAACAAAGCACACACTTAGCACTTCTTACAAAAAGATTGAAGTTTGCCAGCAGAATCCTAAGCAGTTGTCTTAACTGACTCAACTGCTTATCCTACTGCTTAATTACTTACTTTCTTTGAGATCATTTTCATACAAGAGAAGTGCATCAATATCACCAAAAGGCCTATTCTATCATTTCCTAGAAACTCATAGCAGGTGCCTCAGCAGTCCCCTAGTGTCCACCCAACTGCTGAGCCCATTGCTCATATACATTTGTTTCTTCTGAACATCTCAATATCACCAGACCTTCATATCATCACCAACAAGGAGGTTGACCAAACTGCTCTCTGAAATGCACCTTCTAAACCAAGCATGTACCTCAGCAGTGCCCTCATCACCACCCAACTGTTGAGACCACTGCTTCAGTATAGCTCCTGATTACTTTCACTAAAGCACATTTTATGAAAGCCCTCATTATTCTCAGCAACATTTTATCATCACTTTCATCAAACACCCAATATTTCCTCAGCAGTTGCCTTAGCAGTTCCCTGCTATCTAGCCAACTGCCAGACATTTGGGTTCAATCTTCCACCAAGATAGAAAGTATTCATACACTGATTCCATAAAGGGTAAAGACTTCCGTTGTGCGTCTATAATTCTCTCAAAAGATTATAGATCAACTCTTTAGAGAGAGAAACGCTTTAAAGGTGAAAAAGATTTAAAAGTCTATTCACCCCCCCCCCCCCCTCTCTAGACTTTTACCCTATCCGGGACCATCAGTTTTGATTAAGTCATTATTCAATTCTAGATATATCTCGTGCATCGCACGGGTACTTCATCTAGTTTTATTAATATATGACAGTGATGCAAAAAAGAATTTATGTAAAGTTTGGGGTATTTATCTCATACCCCTTCAAAGTCTGAGGTATTTGAATTATTTTTTCGTTAATGTTGTGACTAAAATGGCGTAACGAATACTAAACTTTGTGCAATACAATCAAGATTGTATGTTTCTTCTAAAAAATAAGATTGTGGTCTCTTTCCGAGGTCTTTCATCTTCGCCTTGAATAAGTATTTCAATATGAAAATGATTTGTTGGCCTTTGAGATAACGATGATAAATTATTTTATATTGTTGCATTTGAAATCTAAGAAGGAACTCTAACATTGATAATTTAAAGAGATCTTTGCATTATGACTTTTTTACCTGCCCTCTTGCAAATTAGAATTTTGCAAATTAGAATTTAATTAAGCCTTGGAAAAAGGTGTACCGTTCTTTGTAGGGAAAAAATAAATACTCTCCTAGTATAACACCCGTGTGATACGTGTCAATGTGAAAATGGTTTGTGAAAATGGTTTGTGAAAATGGTGAGTTATGAGAACAGTTCAATATAAAATTGCAACATGAGTTTTGTGTTGTTGACAAAATAGAGCTAATTGTAAACCACAATTCACAACGTAGAATCAATATTACATGTCATGAAAAACTTCTTTAAACACCAAAATTCTCTTTCATGGTCTCATCTCACATTTTGACATAAACATTTTGATAAAGTATTGTGAGAACACCACAATTCATTACCCTTCACACAATAATTTTTACTTGTTAATGATTAAAAAAATATCTGTAAGAGTATGACATTGATCTTGAGCTTTCTTGATGATCATTGCATAAGAAATCATTATTGGAGATTGTTACTTTCAAAATAATAAATGAAGTATGACATGTGAAAGTGCTAAGGATAAAACACTTTGTCTTACACTCATACCACTAAACACTTTCCCTTCCAATATGCGGTAAATAATCAAAGTCTTGGTATAATGATTATCTTTCCGTCATAAAAAGTCAGAAGGAAATTTATAAATCAGTGCATTGTATATTTAGCAAGAGACTACATGAACATACCATGTATCTATTTTCAAATGAAGAGCTGACCACTAAAGGCGTGAAAAGACGCAAAAGGTGAGGCCTAGGCATGAAAAGACAGAAGTTTTTCAGATGAATTAGTTTTTGTAAAAAAAAGTTGATGAAGTTAACAAAAAAGACATTTATAAATATGTTATACATGGGATCTAATAAGAAGTAGTAAGAAAAACAATACTCCGTATATCATTTTCGATTTGCACTTTTTATACATTTAGAACTATATATATTCAAATTAAAAAATAGGCTCAATCTTATATACTTTTTTTGAACTTTTAATTTTTCTGCATATATCACTTTATGATAGTAATTATTAATATAAATCTAAAACGCTTTTTCACACTTACGTTTTGCCTATTCCGTCTAGATTTCAAAGGCTCGAGGCTTGGCCTTGATGCCTTGCCACACCTCATATCTCTTAGAACACCAACTATATGTCGAAGAATGCCTATCCTAATGTACTTCTTCTATGAAAGAGTAAATTGAGTCATATAATCATTTGTGATGTACATTACCCCTAACTCCTTTATTAAAAAATAATTACCAGGAAGTTTTGAATTTTTAAAAATGAAACTTACTCACACATTTCTCTGTCAATAAGATATTGCGGAGCAATAAGCATACATTAAATGATGACACAATTTTTTTGTACAACTCAAAGTGTACTCTCTAAATTAGTAATATGATTCGCACTTCCATTTGCAGAAAATGTGGTTTATATGATTGATAAATATCTTATGCTTTGTCTCTTGGGTTCGTAGTCACACTAATACTTATCTTTGAAAATTTGGCTATTAGAATTCTAAAATATCAAAACAGCTTTAATTAGATATACCAATTAGTGAATTTTTATACATGCTAATTAGGCCTTAACTATTTTCAATGTACTAATTTTGTATTAATTAACTTGATATTAATCAATACCTATATTTTAGTAATATTAAAAAAAACATTGTTTCATATTTTTATTTGGCATTTGAAAAAAATGCGGACTATTTTACCTATTTTGTTCATATTTAGAGCATGTTTGATAACACTGAAGTTGGATGAATTGGCTTATTTTGCCGCAATTTATATTGTTCTGGCTGAAACGGCTGATTTGGCTGAATTTGCTAATTTATGAAAAAATTATATTTAAAAAATATTTTTTAATAAAATAAAAAATTATATGAAAAATAGCTAAATAGTCCTCTTCATTAATTTCAGCCAATTCGGTCTGAAAAGTAACTCCAAACTTACTTATTTTGATTAGTACACAATTTAGTGCGCGAAATAAAAAATTACATTCATGTTGATAAAGTTACGTTTGGGATGTTTTTATTTAGACTTTTTTCAATCATAGACCAAACCAAACCACATCAGACCAGACTTGCATACTTACAAAGTACACATATATCAGACATTACCAAATCAGGTCAGTTTAGACCAGAAACTTTTAGTCTGATTAGAAACATCCTAGTTGTATCACTAAATTTATTAGTAACATTATACGTAGTATGAACTTGGGCATCTAATAAGACCTTTAAATTTAGGAAACACACCATTTTAATCTGTTAAAAAAAACTAAGCCCGTAGAAGTGAAAATGAAACACAAAAATTAAAGAGGATCCGCCAGCTACCTGGGCCAAGATCGGCCCGTCTAAGCAACTGTATGCATCCAGAGTTAAAAGTTTGGGCATATTTGGTCGCCCTAGTTTCTCGATTCTTCGTCTTTAGAGAGAGATAGCCATTTGAGTGGTCGTTGCAGTGGATCGGTCTCTCTGCTCATCCCTTATCCGACGTCCCTAATGATGGAGCCCTTGAGACCAAGATAGTAGGCGTTTTTGGCGTTGGAGGAGAGATTGGTGGCTAAGTATTGGGTGATGTGGTTCAGACAAAGTCCTACTTGTGCGAGATGGTTTGCGACTTGGGTGATGTCGAAACGAAAAGGAGATTCCGCTTTGTAGTCTATGGTATTTGAGCTTGTTTATCTCCGGAGAGTGGTATCCCGTATTGTTTTTTTTTTCGTCTAGCATTTTCGTTGTTGTTTCGTTGTCTGTTTTCACTTGGAAGTCTTTGAAACCTGTTTGCGTCATGTATGTTGTCTAAATTTTTGTCGCAGTTGTATCATGCGTGGAGGGGGTTGAGAGCTCGGGCTGGGAAGAAGATGGCGAGCTGGAAGGACCCGATAGAGTCACGAAGTATTGCACCTCCGACGCTTTTCCTCTTGCTGTGTGTTGCATCTGTGTT